GTCCTGTTGCATTAATTCGAATCGCTTTGGATCATAAAAATAAATTAGGTCAGTGGTTGCTTTTAAATGGTGTCGAAAGTGAAGGAGGGAAAAATAATATATAATACATGTATACATGCATGCATACAGTGAAAAGTTGTTTGTGGGATTACTTCTAACCGAATTGTACACGCAGCTGTATGCACTGTGGTGGTGAGAGAATGACTCTCTTCCTGTTTCTTCATTGTTTAGGATTGTTGCAACAATACATGTATTTACATAAATAAAGTATATTTGTTTCTTCCTGCAGCTTAAAACAACATTAGAATAGTGACAATAAAGGTGATTTGATTTGATAGAAACATGAAAAAAATCATGATGGTACATTTAATCTGTAGTATTCATTCTGGAAACATTTCATATTGGTGCATTCCTGGTAATGAAGATCCTAATAGTTTCTAAAGCATCCAACATATCAAAAATATTAACACTTTGCCTATTTCTGCTTCAGTCTTTGTGTGATTCAGCCCTAAATTAAATAAAGACCTTTTAATGTTGGGCTTTTAGTGGATTGTGTGAGTCATTAATCTGCTTCAACTTGAATTCAAGGGTGAAAAATGGTTTTCTATTGATCCAAACTATAAAACAGCAGTAAATATTTTCGTGCCTCAGCAGCCATAAACGAGTCATTATGGGGTTTTTCCCCCCAACTATCTGTCCATTTAACCGTCTCCATCTCGTGAACTCCCCAAGGGACTTTTGTCAAACTTGAAACCAGCATTCATGTTGAGCAGTTTTCACACTTGCCCCCCAGCCATTTTTTTGTTGTTGTTGTTGCTCCACTGAGGCTGCATGTGAGAACACAAATGTCAGCAACATTTACTCCAGGCTTTTCGTGGAGTTTACGCTGCAAGTTCACCTCATGTGTGAAAGAGCAGGTAATGCTCCGGAGCATTTAGTGATTAGACGACTCACTCTTTTTTCTGCTGTGTGTTCAAATATGTGTGTAGTATCATTATTAAATGTCACACGTGGGCAGAAAGCCTCATATGGCATTTTCAGTGTTAACAAAACAAATACTTCCTCTCTGCGCCTTTTTACGTCGTGTTCGGTTATTGTACAACCTGAAAGGGTTTACAGCCTTGGAAACTCGTCTCAAATGTCAAGTAAAGGTGTAGAAAAAGGGTAAATCTGAATGAAAGTGTGTGTAAAATTAGTTTAATTTGCTCCCAAATTCATTAATTTAATTTCATTAAGCTTAATTTTGTTTTTCAGGATTCGATTACTTCTTTTTTTTTTTACCTAAAAAGTGTCTTCATGTATGAAGGATTAGTAGTGGATTAACATTTCTTCAGAAAAAATATCAGATTTTTTTCTAAAAAATGATAAAAAGTGTTTAATAGAATGTTTAGTTATTTCAAACCAGCTTGTAAATTATTTAATCAAAAATGTTGTCTTTTTGGAAAGTAACTCAGCAATGTAACTTCAAATTCAATTCAACTTTATTAATCGCAGAGGGAAATTAGAGTTTCAGTACACACAATTCTGAGATCAGACAGACATACATACATACATACATAGGCATAGACACATGACAAGAATTGGTGACTGTGGTCATTCGCAACCCGAGTCGCGCTACCTTAATAGAGATCAGAGGGTTTATATATGAGGATTGAGTCAGGTAGAGGGAAAAAAAGCCACTTCAGAGTTGCCCTCCACAGGGAGGGCAGCTTTGTTATGCAAAAAAACACCTCAGACAGAAATGCAACAGACTTCAGACATAACACAGCATAAGTGTCCACTAGGTGGGGAGGTAGAGTTGGGGACTATCCTCACATCAGTGCATGCAGCCACGATGAGCAGCGCTCGTCACCTCCGTTTGGACAGGGGAAGGAGGTATTTGGGTTTAGAAAGCACAGTGACTCCTGGAAACGATTCAACAGCCTTCACCGGTCGCAGTCCTGCCCAGGCTGGGATAGGGAGACAGAGTTACTTTGGCGACGGCAGCATTCCACATTTCTTCTGAGGGGGAGTAATCTCTTCAGCCTCACAGGCTCAAGGGCACCAGATTCAGATAAGAACTTGTTTTGGGGCCAGACAGAGATCATTTCCTCTCTGTCTTAAAGTTACGTTGATCTCCAAAGTTCCTGATTTGATCTGATGGGACATATTGATTTAGGGTTTTCACACATTTTTTTTTGTGGTTCTGTTCATTCATGTCCCAAAAAAACTTACTAAAACATTGTTCTCCCAATCTTAAAAATGACTTGGATATTGATCTGCTCTAATTGTTGTCAGTTAAATCTCTGAGTTAAATGTGTACCGGTAATTGCCAGAAGCCTGCAGCAGACCGCTTCTCCTCAGCTCACGTCTTTAAATTCATTTCTAAAAGTACATAATAAACACAGAACACAGGAAACACCTATATATATATATATATATATATATATATATATATATATATATATATATATATACTGTATCATCATATATGCATCATCACCACCATCATCACCACCATCTTAGACCATCACAGTCCATCTTAGTCATGGGGTGGGATCTACGGTACGTCTTTCAAGCTGTCTACCCATGCTATAGGGGGCCTAAGTCTCCTCCCATTCCGGTCGGCTGATGGGTCCCCAGAAGAACAAACTGAATCCAAGTAATCCGCATTGCCTTACGCCCTGGATCACAAGTATGTTGTACATCAGTTTAAATGAAAAGTAATGAGGTGTGTCTCGACCACACTTGTCACGTACTTTGAGATTTATCAGCTTGTAAAAGCTTTTAATTAGCATGACTACAAATCAGACATTGGTACGTTGCATATCAGGTCACCACAGATTCTCCGAAGGTGCTACGTACCACATGGCCAGATTTATGGTGGTTCTGAATTTACAGCCATTTTCCCTCAGTTTTTTTTTTCCGTATCTGGTTCAATGATGCCACTGGTGATGCGCATTTGTAGTCTTGGATGTATTTTCACACAGAACCTAAAATAACGTTGGAAAACCAGCGCATTCTTGGCATCAAAATGCATCTTTAAAATTCACAGACATCATGTGAAATCCATGGCACATAACAAACAGGATTTGAAAATAACGTTTTTAGCCCCATTGACTTGCATTCATTTTTTTGTTCTTCTGGGCACCCATGGTCCAGAAAATAAATGGGCATGACTTAGGCCCTCTGTTGGATAACAAACAACATGACGCACTCACCACTATGGATGTTAGTGAACAAGGCAGTTTGCCATACTCCGTAAAAGAAGACGCAAATACATCCTTTTTCTAAATAATCTTAAGTATCGCTATCTGTTCCTGACTCAAAAATAAAGCCCATTTCTAACAAATAGTCCAAAGTTGATCTCAAAACCATTTCAAAGGAGCTGTCATCATTTTTGTTTTTTTCAGTAACATCCTGCGCACTAAAGGTTGGTTTATGCTTTACGCAAGGTCCGCGTGGTGAAATTGCATCATTTTAACAACCACGCCCCTCCACCGCGCCTCCGCACAGCCCAAAATTTCCGCACCGCGCACCTAGGAAATTTTCTAACCACGCGGACGGTCAGACATGGAAAAACCTGGCGGACCGGCAAGAACTAGTATGGCAGAGGTTCATAAATACAGACATTTGTATGATTCAGCTCTCAAAGATCACCGTGATCAACATGTTGTTAATAATTCTTAGAGAGAAATAGCTCGCACTGTCGGAAAAGACGAGGAAGCTGTTAAAAACTGCTGGAATGCCATGTTGTAAACAGTAATTTCTACTTCTACTATGGTGTAATGTTGGATACATACCATAGAGCTCCATACTGCCCCATTCAGTTTGGGAGAATATTGGCTCACCGCAGAGACAAGCCGCATGAACCATAAACGCTGCAAGTTGTGAAGCGCGTTCCATCCGCGAGCCGCATCACCAAGCGGAAAGTGAATGCGTCAAGCATAAACCAAGCTTGACAGAGTGGTGTGATTGGCCCACCAAACCAATAGAGCGCTGCTATGTCAGACAACGGGGCAGTCCTGTATTGTGGAAGAAGCAGGGAGAAAGACAAAAATACATTGTTTTTTTTTTTGTAAATAAACTGCTGTGATTGGCCAACCACAATACTGGCTGAGGCTGCGGAGGTTCCAGTGGAGCATTGCTAGAAAAACATGCAAAGCGAAAAGATTTTGCTTTGGTAAATGACTGTCTTGATGCTAGGCTAGGTAGTAATGGCTGCTGCTCCATTTTTAGAACCAACCATGCTGTGACTTAGAGCGTACCAAACCATGCAGAAAAAGAAACTTCAGAAGGCTGTCAGGCACTGATTGACTAGGGCAGGTGTGGGCAATCCTGGTTTTAGTTTTTTCCCTTATTCAACACACTTGACTGAAATCAGCAGGTGGTTAACAGGCCTCTGCAGGGCTTACCGAGTTGCTTAATAGGTGAGTCGAGTAATGCTAGAGTGACTAAAACAGAAAGGATAGCGGCCCTCGTGGACCAGAGTTGCCCACCCCGGACTAGTGGGTGGTTGCTTCAGAGTGGTTTTCAGTTTTCTTTTCTCTGCAATCTGAGTTCCAGCCAGGTCCATTTCCAATGTTTAACACCATGTAATCTATTGTACTTTGCAGACGCCCAGCTATGACGACCCCACCCTAGAGCAGTTTTGCAGTTGAAATGGAAAACCACCTAGTTTAGAGCCATGCTGAGTTGACACTGTTGGAAAAGGTTCAAAATTCAATTCAAAACAATTTTTAGTCAATTTATTTCTGAATGTCTAATTCCATAATTTCATCCATGTTTTCCGCATCACAGAAATCAGCACAAGGAGTATAAACTACAGTTTGTCTGGTCGAGGAAGAAAACATTGCGACGATTGTTCAAATTTCTATTAGTGGAAATCAAATAAAAGAACAATTCAAGCAAGCAAAATAAACAAATGTCTTTTCCCCTTTATAATACCTTCAGATTTTACAATGAGATGTTTAAATTACTTGTGAATTAAAAAAATATGTCTGTTTTGTCTGTCCCCTCAGAGTTTGTCGATCCATGATGGCGCTCACCAAAGGTCCTGCTTGACCTGAAAGCCATTATTGTAGTCACCTGTGGATGAGGTTTTGGCACATCTGCTCACGGATGCTGAGACGATGGTGAAAGCACAGCAGAATCAGCCAGTCAAATGCAGGAAACCCCAGAAGAAGAAGGCCTGCAAGGAAAAGGGATGCGGTGTAAAGAAAGGAAAAGTAGGAAAGACTGAGCTCAGTGGAACAAAAAAGAGAGCAAAGAAAGACTCACGGCATAGAAAGAGGTCTGCGTCGACTGATAACGAAGATGCATTAGCTTGTTGTGTCTTGCTGACTCGTCTGGATGAAAAAAAAGTTGTTGGTAAAGAAAAGAATGCAAAAATTAAAAAGCAAAAGAGCATTAAAGTCAAAAAGAAAGTGTGCTCAGTTCATAGAAGGACCAAATCCGAACCTAGGAAAACTTCCACAGCCAGCCGACAAACACTGGAACCAAAAAACAACCAGTCTGGCGCCTTACTCATGTCACCATCACCTGCCGTTGAGCCTCGTAGGAGAAGGTTGGCTTCTCTCAATGCAGAGGCCGTCAACAGTTTGCTGCTCTACAGAGAGAGTTCACTCATGACAAATCTCACAAAGAAATGGGAACCCTTCAGAGAAAGTACAGACAAAGATACTAAAGCCAAAAATGTTACTTCAGGAGGGAAAGAGGTCCTGAAAGAAAGATCCAAAAAAACAAAGAAGTCAGCATCTCAGGCTCAGAATATTGACTGGTTGAGTTTGTTTGCTCCAACACCACGACGCCAAGCAGGCCTCACTGCTGCGACGCTGCTTAAACTCACCAGTTCCCAGTACAGAACCAAACGACTAAAGAAGACTGAGTCCAAACCGGTTGTCAGGAGTGAACCAACAACCTCCACACTGAATGGCCTAAATGGGAAGGCTATGTATGGACAAGCAGCTCAGACCAAAGTCAGACCACATCCCAAACACAAGGAGCAACTAAAGCACAGAAAACAAGGTACAGAGGTACCAGTCCATCCCCAGCTGAGCTCTGCCCTTCAGGGATGCTGTAGTTTGTGTAAGACAGAGCCTTTTGATCCAGAATGGAAGAGTGCCACAGGAGGACAGGAATGTCTCAAACATGCTATCCATCGTGGCTCCTCTTTGGGATTCTCCTTGAAAACAATCAAAGACGAGCAAGTGGAGACTGAAGTGTCTTCCTGCTACTGCTGCACCCAGGAGAGATGTGTTGAATACTGTCACAGACTGGCCCTCTTTCTTGAAGACAAGACTTTCAAGGAACCAGAGGATGGCTCTCTGTCTGAAGTGTTCCACCACCATCATCATCACCATCATCACCATCACCACCACCATCTTCAGTCAGCTCATACAGTAGCCCACCCAGCAGCCATAACCATCAGCCCACACACCTGCACTTGTTTTCCAGGCTACTATGTCCACTTCAGCCATCCTGATAGCTCCCCATCTCCCATGTCACCTCTCGCTTTGTGCCCAAGAAGCAGCAAGAGGCCAAAGCTGCACCCCAGCACCGGTTCACAACCTTCAGGGATCAGCCATCCAGTCTACTGCTGCACCTCAGTGGAGGCGTGTTATGGAGAGCCCTGCAGGATCAATGGCTTCTCTACTTATTCCAATGTGATTCCAGCCATCACGAGAGGACGGTGCCCCTTCAGCCCCAAAGACTGCACCAAATGCAACCATGGCACAAAAAGAGGTAAAAAAAACACGACTACTGTCCATACAACATCCAACATCTCAATTAGATATCTCAGCTGTGCTTTGTGTTGGCCTTCCTCTGACTGGCATATCCTTAAAGTCTGTTTCTCTTCATAGGCAAGGCAACATCTAGCCATGTTTTTGAAAGATGACACGTTTCTCTAGCTGTTTGTAGTTACTTTTCCCATCCATGACAAGGACATTGTTGTATTATGAAATTAACGACAAAGAAACAATGCATATCTTTAAGAATTTGAAATCATCAAATCAAATTTGAATCATCTGGTGTTGAGAGATGATTGAGTTGTAGCTATTTTAGTCAAATAATGAAAACCAACATGGGCTGTTCCATACTACACCACAATATTTTGCTCAACTTGTTAATCTTTTAGCAATTGGAAACATTTTATGGGGATGACTTTCAGCTATAAGCACACCGAATCTCAGCTAAGCATCTATAGAAAAGGTTAGGTATATCCAAAGTAGGCATTGCAGCAATGCAGAAATGGACAACTTCATCCATTACTGATAAAGTTTGAAGCAAATATCTTGTTTAATGTGTCACGCAATAATTAGGGAGATTGTACGAATCTATGAACCATGGGCAATGTTTATTTTTTATTCCAATTAATTTGTCTTGCAACTGGAACGTTGTAAACATTCACATCCAATCATATTTATACTATACATCATTAAGCTAGGATTCTTGTGATTCCAGTGTCATATGACAATCAAGGATACAATCATAACTGTAGAGCAGAGACGGTTCGTCCAT